GCCCATGCTCATCATTGCCTGTTCGAATTCAATGTTCCCGCGTTTCCTGGTATCACGTGATGGCGGGTAAATTATTATCTTGGGAACCACTGAATATAAAAAGCTGAAATTTTTCTGTAATAACCCCCTGCTCACGCTCCACCTTGCCTAGTCAAATTCAGCGTTTCCGCGCTTTCGGATATCACCTACGGCCCTGTGAAAGTTTTGGCTGGTAAATTCTTATCTCGGGGACCATAAAAGCCAATGCTAAATTTTGTGGTAATGTCTTCTATCCACATACAATCCTGCAATTTTAAATTCAGCTTCCCGCGCGTCCGAGTATCATTTACGGCCCTGAAAGTTTCAGCGGGGAAAATTATTATCTTGGGGACCTTGGAAGTTGAGAATCTGGAATTTTGGGGTGATCTCCTCTACAAATGTGCGACATCGCAGATTTGGATTCAGCTTTCACACACCTCTGGGTACCACGTACAGCCCCGTTAAAGTTTTGAAAAAGAAATGATTGTCTCGTTTGCGTGAAATTTTTAGTAGGAAATTCCGCAACTTAAGAAACAGACATTTTAACTATTTTTGCACAGACCAAAGTGCAAAGCAATGAAAATCATTGGTAGGCAATCTTTCGATGAACGGAACTGCACAAAACGCATGATCGCACCGGCTTCCTTGGTGCGCGCCGCTATTTATTATGCGCTTTTTGCAGCAATGCAATGCGTGTGTGTTGTCTATGTGTGTGTGTCTGTGTGTGTGTGTTTGTGTGTGTGTCTGTGTGTGCGCTGCGCGCCTGTACCGATTTTTCATCTCGAGACCGGCAAAAAGCTACGGGGCTGAAACTTTGGGGACTTGATTTGCATGCACGTACGGGCCCCTATCCCCAAAATGGGCGGCCTTTCCCGCGTAGTGCCCCCGTAAGACCCCGCCAAAGTTTTTTACGGGTAAGTTGCTAACTCGCGAACCACAAAAGCTAGAAAGCTGAAATTTTAGGGGAATGTTCCCCGTCCAAGCAGGTGCTAATAAGCTCAAACCCT